TGAGAGGTCATGTGATTTCCCACCCCCCATCTAGACCTTTTTCTGAAACTTTTACTTTTAGCAAGCACCCTGGTTAGCATAAATGCTTGGAAATCACTAATCCTTTTAAAATCATTTTTCCTGCCTTGTGGGTTATACTCAGTATTGTAGGATGAGTTATTGTTGGGTGTAAGCCATTTTATTTTGACTTTGTAGGGAGCACCTTTTATAGATGACATTGCAGCAATTTCTGTATTTGCTCCCTTTCCTAATATTGCTCTCTCGCCCAAATCATTGACTTTGGGAAAACAAACTTCAATGTGCTAAGAAATGGCGGAATCGTGAGAAATAGTGACTCAAGTTGGAAAGGCCTGTTGTGCTGTTTCTAGCCTCTTGTTTCTGTCTCCATTGTGTAGATTGTGAAATGGGAACATTAGAGTACACAGTTGGGAAAGAGTGGCGAGATGGTAGTTCATGTGGCCCTCTCTCCTATTCTTTTTGTTGTTGGTCTTTTTATTTTCTTTGGTTGATTTCTTGTTGTTTGAAAGTGGTGAGAGGGAGTTGGACTCAGACGCACTATCTTCGAGTCATCTTGACAGAAGGCATATAGTTTGAATTGAGATGAGAAATGGTTGCTGTGCCCTCGTTTTTTGTATCTTTTTGGTACTTTTTCCCTTTAACTCTGTAAAATAATGTTCTAGTCCCTTGAAGATCTTCACTGCTAGCACAGATCTCATGCTGTGTCTGTCTGGTCCAGCTCCTCTTGTTGACTTTTCCTTTTTAGGTATCATATAGCACGTTGGGGGCTGAGTTTTTACGTTCTGAGTGTTGTGGTTCCAGTGTCAGTGATGATAAAAACAGATAACTTACAGAGTTCTGTTTTTTGCCTTCCTAGCTTCAGCTATGGCTATTCTTGAAATGATAAGGCTTATTTGAGTCTCATGCTAAGCTTTTAGTATGTTTTTGCATCAGCTTTTTCTTGTTGTTTTGAAGTGATGCTCATGAAAGTGTTTTTTGCTGCCTTCCTCTGTAGTGTTTTATAAATAAGTGTAGCCATTGGCTGCTATCTCAGTCTTGTGAGGAGAAATGAAGTGTTTGATGTCTAAGGCAATTTTTTGGTTACATCAACTGCTTTTAAGCCATTAAACTTTATGCAAATTGTTGACAGTAATTAAGGTCAATAGCTTTATCTTTTTTCCATTTCCCATTTTTCAGCATAGCTTGTTTTAGCGATTAATTGTGAAGTTCTTAATGGTTATACCATTTCATCTTCATCCTTTCTTCAAATTTCATGTTGATTTTTGTCCTTTTCTCCAGTTAGCAAGTGGTTTAACTATATTTGGAGGTCTGATTTTGTTGCAACTTCACATCAGTAACTAATAATTTTCTTTCTGTTAAAAGTCATTTTCCTCTTTTTGTGATATTTGGGGTTATCCAGTGGCTTCTAATTTTCTACTTGAAGAAAGTTTTCATGGTATAAAAGTATAAGGATTCTGAGTAGTCTAGAAACCCTGTTCTTTCATTTCTTAAACCTAAAGCAAACTTGCCACATTTTTTGGCATATTCACTTTTTATTCTCGTAATTTACCACCTGTTTTCAAAGTATATGTTTATTTTGGTTTGTAGAAGGTTATTATTATTATTAAGTTCTCTACAGAATTTTTTTAATTCATCCTCTGCAGCAGGTGTTGGTATTTAAGCTTCAGTTATCTTCTTGGAATAAGTTTTCCTTTTGCTTATTATGAACACTACAAAATGAGATGACCAAATGTCCTATGAAATTGTAACTTGTGTATCCGAAGGTACAATAAATAATAAAGCAGACCTCTCCAGTTCCTTTACTTATCCCTTAAAACCTGTTGTCCATCTTTTCATTTAATTTTAACTTCCTTTTTTCTTCCAGTTTCTTTATTTTGGTATATATTAATATTTATGTAGTTAAGCTAACTTTCTAGGTGGTCTAAAACCACATACACTATGTGTTGCTTAGAGAGCACCTTAGTAACAGAGTTACCTACCCCCTTTTTTGCCATTGCACCACTGATCTACAGAAGCAGACTGAGGCTACTCAGACAGTACTATTTTCTGTGTTTGCTTCATAGATTTTTGTGACCAAAGAAAAAACTACATTTTGGTCAGTTTACCGCTCATGAGCCCTTTTTTATTATTTAGCTAAATTGGTTCTTATATAGCAAACAGTCTTTCACCAAGGTCATATTTGAAGCCTTTTCAGTATGGTAGAATCCACTAGAGTTTGATCTCTGTGTCGCCTTTGAGAATCTAATCATTGGAGTATGGCTGCAGGGAAGTTGCAGATAGTAAAAATTTAAGAATTGTTTAATCTTAGTAGAAATGAAAAGTTTGCTCTAGGGGTACTCCCCCCCCCCATCACTGCATGATGATAGTGTATATCATTAGATGTGTCAGATTCAATTTAAGTTTGGGATCTGTCCCTTCCCTCATCCCCGTTATAATAGCATGTTGCACATATCATGATCAGCTATCTTTAACTTTTTAAAAATTAGAATATCGATCCTCATCCCAAACAAAATTATTGCTTACTTGAATCCTGCTGTTATGACAAAAAAGTAACTTCTGCCCAACTTATCTTGTGAAGAAAGAACATTTGTAGACCTATTTTGCGCCTGCATTTGTGTCAGTTTTATCTATTTCACTGTGAGCTATAGAGAAGTGATTTGTCTGAAATTGTATTGTCAGAAGGTTAGTAGAAATCTTAGAGCCCTGAGTTTTGACCTCATTAGTTCCTGTGTGCCTGATACATAAGACTTGCTCCCTACCCTTTGGAAACTTATGAGGAAATAAGTATAAATACATACAGAAAAGGACAAGAGCAGTTAATGACTAGAACAGTTTCTTAAGTTCTGTTTTAAACGTACCCCAAGGACTAGGAAGCTTCAAAGAAAAAAGTGGTAATGGTGGTAGACAGGCATGACAAGTGAACACTTTTTTTTCCCACTTGCTTGCAGTGTGTGTCTTTAGCCCATTAATGAGATCATCAGAGATTATATCATATAGCTAAAAGTTGGCATCACATTGATCTGGATTGGTTATTGATTGTGTCCAATATGTATACCTACTTCAATTATTTTTTTCTGGTTTAACAGTAATAATCTTGTAAAATAATTGGTATATATGATAATAATATTTTATACTAGTGCCCATTAGGTATAATTAAGGAAAGAAGAGAAAGCAACGATCCTATTAAGCCAAGACCGATGAAACAAATGTTTATAAACTTAGCACCAAATCCAGTTACAAAAGAAACACAGATTTACCTATAGTGGTCTCTAATTTGGGTTTACTTCTAGTGACCTTGATAAAACAGTATGTGTTTGGCCAAATTTTAAGTGATAGTTTTGTGATTTTGGTATAATTACAAAAACATTTACAGATATGTGAATTCAAAAACAAATTCTTGAAATTTTAAAATCATAATGTGATAAACTACAATAGTCCCTCATACACAAACATTGGTTAGTATAAGTAAAGGGGAAAATGAAAGTTATTGCAAAACATCTGATACAAATACATAAATAGATGTATGATTTCTTTAATCTGACTATTTCTTTCGTGATGCAGATTAAAACCTGGTTGCCTATCCTATATGACTCCTTCTTCTATCTTCCCTTAATTTTGTTAATGAGGAGGTCACCAAATGTATACTAGAGATATTTCTCATTTTCCCCTAATATCTTGTGATTAAAAAATAATAAATGACAGTGAATAATCATCCATCATCAACTTTTTTCTCCTGCTGAATAAATTATGTTGTTAGTTTTGTAGTTCTATTTAATAGAGAAATATTTTTTAAAATCAACCTCATTTAGTATAGTTGACATTTTAAGAAAATTTAAATACTTCACTGTAAGGATTCCATTGAATTTTAAAAAATAGTTTGATAACCATTAGGTTAAAGAATAACATTAGTATAGTGCCAAATAAGTTGTTAGAATTAGTTTGAATACTTTTATTAGCACTCTGCTATCTGTTATTTGGGTTGCGGGGGAGCAGTACTAAAGAATTATGAGACTTGTTCTCTGCCTTCAAGAAAACTTAACTCACTAAGGACACTAGATGCATATACATACCAACTCTGAGTATTCTAAGAATATAGGAATTGGAAAGATCATGTAGCCAGGGAAGAAGAGGAATGCTTCTTAGACAACGATTTGAAGAACAGAGAGGATTTGGATCAGTAGAGATGACGTCCTAGGCAAGGACCCACATAATGAAGAAAGTCAGTGGCTAGTGGAATAAGTACCTTATTTGTGGAGATATCTTCCCTAGAACTTCTATAAGGTTCATTTCAAAGTAGTTGGAGATAAGATTTGATAATTAGCATGGCAGTCTGTTGAGTATGTTTAAAAACTTACTATTTGATCTTTTCAACAAGAAAAAGCAGTAGTTCCATATAGAAGAATGGTAAGGAATACTGCTTTAGGTAGCATGTATATGCTATATATTTATAAGCTATATATACTATCCCTGCTTATTTTATTGGTTTGTTAGCTAGATGATTCCCTCTTTCTTCTTTGTATGTTAAAATGCCTTTTTATCTATATATCAACTTCAAAGGCTGCTTTGGGTGGGTGGCAATCTGAAGGTATCTTGAAATGTTGAAACTACTTTGAGGTACTAAATCTTTTGGCTTGTCGCACATCACAAGCTTTATATGTGGTTTATAGCCTACCTGTGGTGTGCTGGCTTAGTTAATAATAAAGGAAATAGACTTATAGTTGATTGGGCATTGATTTAATTGGGCCTTTCTTGTGTGTGTGTGTGTGTGTGTGTGTGTGTGTGTGTGTGTGTGTGTGTATTTGCCAGTTGTGGTAGTTGGGTAGAACTGTTTTTATAACTATCGCCTTCCTTTATCCAAGGTGCTGACAAATGACTGTTTAGCATGTAGAAGAAATAGCAAATTTGGAAATGATAACCCTGCTCCTTCTAATGTAGAATAGTGTACTTCAGTCCTTATTTCTTTTTCCTCTGCTTAATCTCAGGTCAACAGGACATACTGCTGTGGAACCTACCGCGCAGGTCCTATGCGGCAGATAAGTCTTGTTGGAGCAGTAGATGAAGAAGTTGGTGATTATTTCCCAGAATTCCTTGATATGTTAGAAGAATCACCATTTCTGAAAGTGAGTGTTAATCCAGATTGTTAATTTGTAGTTCAGATTACTTATTTGAAAAATATATCCATAAAGTAATTCAATTTGACTGCTTAAAAAAAAAAGACCGCCCAGATGGTTGACTTATAACTATACTGCAAAGATAGTGGCACTGAAATTTTATTTAAAATTATTTTCTTAGATATATGACATTGTATGACATAGCATTTGTTTGTTTATAAGACCTTGCTTTTTAATAAATTGTGAATCTTTTTTTATTTCAAATCTCTGTATTGACCTGACTTGTCTCATTTTTAGATGACTTTGCCCTGGGGCACGCTCTCTAGTCTCCGACTCCAGTGTAGGTCCCAGAGTGATGATGGACCTATAATGTGGGTGAGGCCAGGAGAACAGATGATCCCTACAGCAGATATGCCAAAGTCACCCTTCAAAAGACGCCGGTAAACATTTTGTTCCCTTTCCAAAAATGCAAACATTTAATTATATTTTTTCCTCTTCATAGTAAGGATTATTACTAGCTTTTTCCAAGTGAATCTGTTTAGTATGGTATTATGAGATAAGATCTAAAAGTTAATGTCTTAAAAAAAACCTCACAGTGCTTGATGCCTTTTTGCCTATCTATATGATATTACTTGAAATCTTATATCTGGGATTCTTCTCCTCTGACCCCCCCCTCCCTTTTTTAAAAGTGGTTGAGTGTGTTCATCTTCTCCACCCTGAGTTGTTTAATTTAAACGTAGATAGTTGTCACAAATGCAGAATGGGTCACTTTGACAAACTCAGCCTCACAATAATATATGAACTTGATTCACATTTGGTAATCTGGTTGTGCTGTACATGGCAGCTTTTTTTTATTAACTGAAACATTTGAATTAACCAGATCACTTCATTTTTTAATCATATAAGTTTACTGTGGTGATGTTCTCAAGTCTGAATAAGTTTGATTTCACTTCGGATTAAATATTCGGTATTGATAGTTATGATGGAAAAATTACAAGCATTTGAATGAATTTTTTTTCTCAGAGTTTTCTTTTGGTGAATGAACCAGATAGCTTTCCGCCTTTGTTTCCATCTTTTCTATAATAAAAACTTTTATGTATAGTGTGCTGAATGCTGTTTGGGAGTGTGGCCTCTGGAGTCATGAAACTCTAGGGGAAAATTCTGAGTTATTAAGCATAAGGACTGAGGGCAGTCAGAATTCTAAACATTAAAACACAATACTCCATTAGATTGTAAGCTCTTTGATGGCAAAGACTAACTTTAGCCTTCTTTTTTCCTATCTCCAGCACATAGCCTAACACATAGTAGGTGCTTAATAAATGCTGTCTGAGTGATTTATTAGGTTTGTAACCATGAGTAAGTTAGTCTCTTGTAACCTCTATTCTTATGTGCAAAAGCAGACAATATTTAATATTAAGCAGACAACCTTTTAAAGTTGTTACAAGGACAGCACTTTGTAAAATCCTACATAAACTTTTTTTTGCATTATCAGGAGCTGCTTGTTAGGATTGCAGAGGGTTTCTTTTATAATGGGAGCAGCTTGGGCCAGTGAAATAGAACACTAGATTTTGAATTGGATCTACATTCAAATTCTGGCTCTATTACTTAGTGGATATAATTGTGGGCAAGTCTTAGTCTTAAGCTCCTTGAGTGTTGATTTCCTCATCTGTAAAATGGGAATAAAATGCCTATAGTACCAACCTGAGAAGGTTTACTCTGAGGAAAGTGCTTTGTAGAATAATACGTAAAGTATGAATTGCTGCTATTGATAATAATACTGTTTTATCTCTTCTCTTCCCTCATTGTTGCCCCATAATCAAATCAATTTTAGATCAATGAATGAAATTAAAAACCTCCAGTACCTACCTCGGACCAGTGAGCCCCGAGAGGTTCTCTTTGAAGATAGAACGAGAGCCCATGCTGATCATGTAGGTCAGGGGTTTGACTGGCAGAGTACGGCTGCTGTGGGGGTTTTGAAAGCTGTACAGTTTAGTGAATGGTAAGTCATAGCACGCAACTCCATGTTTGTGTTATCCCCTCTAGAAAAGGGGGAGACTCAAGGACAGAATGGTATACAATTACTAAAGGATATCTAAATTTCTGCTTTGTATACATTTTGTTTTTTCTTACTTCAGTGTGTCTTGTTTTACCACAGATTTTTTTTTAATGGCTGAATGCAGTTCTTGAGATTTCATGTCCTGTTATACTCTAAAGCTCCTTGAGGGGGGCAAGAAGGGAGGCATCTTTTTCCTTTTGCATCTTGAGTTCTAAGCACAGTGCCTTGCACATAGCCTCTTGATGAATACTTGTTGAATTGAAATGATTATGGCACATGAAAGGCTAGATGTTTTTCTTACCTCATTCTTTCCATCTTTTCCTTGCTCACTTAAAACAAACATTTGAAAGGAAACACTATTTCTACTTGGACTAATTTTAATTTCTCTGGATTAAAATCACATTAGATTTTAAAAAAGGGTTTTACAAGAAGCAAGTGAATTCTTGTTATTTTGGAGCCAGAGCAGTAGTTGAAGTGACTTGCCAACCTCTATTTGATTGTGAGATGCCTCTCCATATTTACTTGCCCATTTTAGGAGTAACCAACCTCGAATAACCAAAGATGTGATTTGTTTTCATGCTGAGGACTTCACTGATGTTGTGCAGAGACTTCAGTTAGACCTCCATGAACCTCCAGTGTCACAGGTACCGAATTTGCTTTCTTATTGCAACCTTTTTGGATATTTGAAATAGCTATTTTAAATGCTGGTAGGGAGAATCTAGAAGCAGTTTTTTCCAATTTACAGGAAAGGAGACCAGTTAGGAATGATTGACAGTAAACTTTCTGAATACACTCCCTCCCCCTGCTTTTTTTTTTTTTAGATGAATTGCTATCTGTCCTTTTCTTTGGCATCTCCTTTTCCATCTGTCTTGTGAAGTTGATTTTTTGAACCCCGGTGTAAGCCTTTACATTTATTTCATCTTACTGTATTTGACCCAACATGCTAGCTGCTTCTTTTGGATTCTAATTCTTTCATCTTATATTATAGGCATACTTTTTAGTTTTGTGTCATCTGCAGTTGGATAAACCATCTATACTTTATCCAGGTCATTGATGAAAATGTTAAACTCTGTAGAGCCAGGCATAGATTCCTGGAGAATTCTACTGCAGAATCTCCTTTGGAGTTGACATTGAACCATTGGCTACAGCCCATTGAACCAGTTCTACACCTGTCTAACTCTATAAATGTCTAGCCCACATCTCTATCTTTTCCACAAGAGTTGCATGAGAGATTTATAAAGTATCAAGTCTAGGTAAATGATAGCTACAGCATTTCCTTAATCTGTCGACCAGTCTAGGGATCCTGTTGAGAATAGAAATAAGGTTAAATCTGGCATGAACTGTTGTTCTTGTTGGTCTGTTGGCTCTTTTTAGATCACTGCTTCCTTTTTTAGAAGTCTACTGATTATTTCATAATGAATTCTAAATTTCTTCCATGAATCAAAGTCAGGCCTGTTGACCTATAGGTTAGAGATTTCACTTCTTTCTTCTTTAAAATTTGGGATGATATTTCACCAACTTGAACCCGTGGGACCCTCCTCTACTTTGCACAGTTTTTTAAGGGTTACTGGTATTCACCTTTTTTAGTTGTCTTGGTTAGGCCTGGTGACTCAAGATCAGTGATGACCATACTATCTTTTTGCTTTCTTAGGGCATCAGCTTGCTCATAGCCTATTTCTTTTCTTTTCTTTTTTCTTTTCTTTTTTTTTCTTTCCAGTCCAAACATCATTATCCTTGGCAGAAAACACAAAAGCAGAATAAGAATTGAGTCTTTTGCTGGTTGTAGATAGAAAGAGTCATGTTTGGCTTAGGTCTCAGGTGTAAAGTGTTGAGCATTCTCTGTGTGGAGTAAAGCAAATATAACACCGCAATTTGAATACATCTAGACCTTTGCACAAAGCCACCACCCCCTTTTTAACTTGTGTTTGGTAACATAATCACTTTACAGCATTAGTGTTTATAACACGGCTTAAATGAGAATATTTCTAAGTGCAATTAAGTATTATAAATTTCGTATTCCCTTTATAAAGTTGGCAGTGTTAGCTAGTGTTGGAGATTTTCAAAAGATGTTCCTTCCTTCATGTAAAAGTATTTAATTTTGGTTTAATTAGAGTTTTATAAGTGCCTTCCTCCCCATTTTGGTCTCCTGATCTGCCTACATAGAGGCTAAAGTTTGCAGTCCTTAAAATGTGTTAAATGATGTATAGTTCATTTTTTTAAAAAATAACATCAAACTGTAACTTTTCTTCTTTTCCTTGTTCAGTGTGTGCAGTGGGTGGATGAAGCTAAACTAAACCAAATGAGGCGAGAAGGCATTCGTTATGCTAGAATCCAGCTGTGTGATAATGATATCTACTTCATCCCAAGAAATGTCATCCATCAGTTTAAAACCGTATCTGCAGTGTGCAGTTTAGCCTGGCATATAAGGCTGAAGCAGTACCACCCTGTTGTGGAAGGCCCTCAGAATGATGAAAGTGATTCCAACGTAGATTTTGGTACCACTGGAAAGTCAGAATCTGAAGCTAACTCTCAGTGTGTGAGTATAACAACTGAGTCTGAGGGAACACGTGCAGAGATGCAGCTTCTGACAAGTGCTTCTTCATCTTTCTCAACTCCATCAGGACTTGTACAGCAAGATCAGGGGGCTCAGCTCCTTCCAACTATAAAGTTGGACCCCGGCCTGGAATCCGACCAACCACACGATCCACAGGACCATCCAAGCACTCCTGTGTGACATGTACATATTCAAACACATTTTTTTAACTTTTTTAAATTTTGATGTGAAGTTATAGTTTTATAACTGGCTTAAGTTAAGTTTTATTGGAGAAATCTTGCCTATAATTCTATAAAGAGAAATGACATTCCAAAAATGTCAAGCATATCTTTTTTACACAGATTATGCAAAGTTAAGAGTTGTATCTTATCCCGTTAGTACAGTATGTAATAGTGGGTCTGCTGCTACTTTCTGTTTTAAGGTGTGAGGTAACAGTTCAGTTGCTCTTCAAATCAAAATAGGAGCTCCCTGGAGTTACAGATTCTTCTTTAGTAAATTGATCACTCCCTTGTTTTATCTTGTCTCTTGCCATATCAGCTTCTTTTATAAAATAAGATCTGTAGCTTAGTGCCTGTGTCCTTTATTGCACAGGTACAGTTTCTGCAGTTAAACATGGCATTGGCTGTAGGATGGTGTTCCTGCATCCTGCCTTATGGCAAGTGTGGCATTTAGTTCCAACTACAAAGAACAAGTGACTTCTGTGGCTGTTCAGGTAGCTCTCCAGTTTCTTAGTGAAAGAGAAAGCACAGCACTTTTAATGATCACCATGTCTTCTTTGTATCTGTTCTTGAAAGCCCAGAGGAGAACTTCAGTAAATCTACAAACAAGTAGTCCCTAGTCATTATCTTTGGCTCATTAATCGAGAGTTCAAGATCAACTATAGAAGATGTTCTTGTTAAAAATATAGAGTTGATATGATAACTGTGATGCTCTGCCCAACACCTTTGTCTTTGGTGTGGATACTTTGCTTCCTAAACTCATCAGTAGTCTCAGAATTAGAAACTGCTCTCCATTCTACTGATGAGGCTGCCATATTTTGAGCATCAGTTTTGGGTAAGACTCTGCTTGACTTGTCAGCTGGCTTCAATCTCTTCATGATAAAAATCTAGTATTACTAATGCACTTAAACTCACAGTTGTAACTGGTGCATACCTGAGTTTATTCACTGTTAATTGTGTTGCTATTTCCTAGTAAGGAATAGTTGCACTAGACTTTTCACCCTAGAGTTTCAGGTAGCCTGATGCGATAGTGCCTGGATGCTTTTATTTTTATTTTTCAAACGGGCACAGTTCATCTAGTTAATGTAGTCTGAACATTTTGTTATTTGAGAATGTTAGTGTGATGTGCATCTCACTTTCTCTTGGTTCTTAATAATGCCAATAGGCCTTCTGTTTATTAGAAAAAAGAGTCTCCCCCACCTAAGACCAGATTGGCATATCAACTTGGTTATGGTGCAATTTGGAGTTTCGTTCTTTTCCTTTCTGGAATAGGTGAGATTTGGAAAACTTATGTTAACATAGGCAAAAAAGATGCAGTTTCATTATGTCTGTCACCATGGAAACTCAGCTGTATCTTTTGAAATATCAATTATGAATTTTCTCTAAAAGTTTCTGAAATAGGTTAAGTTTGTTATATAAATATTACTTTGTGCAATATTGTTGTGTAGTTATGCATATTAGCACAGTATAGGGGTCACTGTTTAAACTGATAGAAAAGTAACCATCAGAAAATACTGCAGTGATTAGTTAGAATCTGTATTATTCCTTATATATATGTATATGTATGTATTCTTTGTTACAAAGAATGAAGACAAATAGAGAAACATTTCAATTTAAACCATTTACAAATTGGAAGTGATGGTGAATGTTCAGTAGTCTGTGTAAATAAGGTGTTAGAGTGGAAAGCTTTTATGTGATTCATGCAGGGGTGTTTTTAAATCTTGGGTAAAAATTCTAGGGTAAAAATTCTAGTTCATCAAGGCTAGTTTAGAGATCTGCCCTGAGTTTTTGGCTTTTATCACTTTTTTTTTTTGTCCAGAAGAATTTCATAGAGCTTTACCAGGCTGTGCAAAGTAAAATTCTTCTCAGGCATCATTTTGCTTTAGTGCAGTTTTGATATTTATAAGAATCATGAAGAGCAAGGTTATTAACAGGAATATTGTTTTTTTATTCCTCTTCATTCACTTTTGTCTTCCAAGATCCCATCTCCCCCATCTCCTACTTGCCATCCAGCAGATGCCATTTGTCGTCTAAGCTGGTCATTGCTAACAAACAAGGAGACTGTCTCCTGACAGCCAGCACTGTGTGTATTTACTCAGGAACCAGCAAATCTGCAAAGACTTTACAATCAAAAGCAAAACTCCATCTTTTATTGTTTAAGGCATTTTACCCTCACCTCCAATATAAACATTTAAAAAGGTATAAACCTTTTAGATCATGTAGTAATAAATTCATTGTATTTTAGAATTGCAGTAGAATGGGAAGGGGGAAACCATTTAGCTTGTAATATGTATCTGGAAACTCCTGAATGTCCTATGTGAGTATTAGATTTTAATAGCATGATTTTAAGACTGATGAATATAAAAGCAGGCAAGCTTGAGTTTCATACTGCTTTCAAAGCTGTATCCTAGGTTAGTGAAATAAACAATTGAAACTTTTCTAAATAATTAAATTATTTGGTTTGGTGGGTTTAGGCATGGACCAATTCCATGTCCTTTGATTTGTAAAATAGTGATGGCAATTTTGAACTTTTAAGTGGAATTAAGCTGATCTCCTCTTCTGTATAAATCCATTGTGCCAACTCTTTTAGAGATTATATCTCTTGCAGAGAGTGTGGGTGTAAGATGTAAAATTATTTGGAGCAGAGGGATGGCAGAAATGTCCTTGTGTAAAGGGCCTAATAAATTAATATTCTTAACCCTACTGACTATAAAGCACCCTTTGATGGTTGGCTCTGTGGTATCCATTTAAAAAAACCCAACAAAACAGAAACAAAAACAGACTCTTTAAACATTCTCTTTCCCCTCCCCACCAATTTTATAATCACAAGTGATGTGCTAGGAGTGAAAGTACAACTTACACAAGTACATTTTAAAGAGTTACTTCATGTAGTTAAAGGATAAATCTGTGTAAGGGAAAAGTTACACATGTATATGATCTCTCCATGACCATTACTATTTAGAACTTTTTTTTCAAAGGGTATTAGTGATTATTCAATTGTAGAAGTTATATGGATTATCATTATGGGAGAGAGAGAGAGAGAGAGAGTGTGTGTGTGTGTGTGTGTGTGTGTGTGTGTGTGTGTGTGTGTGTGTGTGTGTGTGTGTGTGTGTCTGTAGGTGTAGGTATGTGAGAGAGTTTTGTGTGGATGGAGGTGTCCCAAATGACCAATAGATCCTATTTTTAAGTTAACTATGAATTTGAGGGTGCTTATCTAAATATTTCACTCAGTTCAAATGCCCCTGAATTTGTTTTACTTAATCAAAATATGGTCTTCCTCCGATTATAGACAGAGTGATATCATCTGAAGAATATTGCACACAGGAAAAACCAGCCCAGCTTTATCTAAGGGAATATATTTTACTTTAGTAAAGAATTTTAATCAATATTGTTAGGTTTACAATCCAAATTTAGTAGTGGTTGGAGAAAATGTTGCTTATTAGGTCCTTTTCTATCCTTCTAGATTTTCTTTCCTTCTAGAACAGAATATTTTATAACTTACAGGCTACCATGTTTTAGGACAGGACCCAAAACTCTGCAAACAAACATGTGGTGAATGCATTCTTGACAGTAACAACAGTGGACTTTCAATTTTCTTCCACATTTGGCCACTGAAAGGTCTGTTTGCATTCTCACCTATGGAAGAATCTAGTCCATGTCTCTCCAATAAGTTGTTTTGTTAATGCCACAAGGATTTTTAAAAAATAAAAATAAAAAAATTAACCTTCACTGGCACATACCACTAGTTTCAAGTTCACATTTGTGCTGAATTTTATTTTTATAAACACAGATTGCAGCCATAACGGTCCTGTAGTAGGTAGAGGAAAGGCATAAGGTAAATGTTTTTCTTCAGCACCAACAGGACCTTTTATTATCCTGAAAGTTCATGTTGCAGATTAAATTTACATTGCTTTAAGAGCAAGTATCTCTCCATAAATATTATGGCCTTCCATATTGTTCATAGACTTTTTAGGATCCACTTGTGCATGTAATTGAGGAGAATACCTCCTCTTAATATAGCACTTTTCAATTCTCTCTGAAGAAATACTTTAGTACTACTTCTAATCACATGTTGTAAAGTTTCGTGTAATAGTGTTTTCTGTGACTAAACTCTCATTTTGATCGGCAGCTAAGACTTTTTTTCTGTGGCTTTAATTTATCTTTGCATATAGATGAAATTATAATTTGCCTGGAGGACTGTTTGCATTGTATGGCCTTCGTATGTTTATTGACATTAACAAGTGTTTTAAAGAGGTTTTTAATGAATAGTCTAAACCTAAATCTATGTGAATAATAATCCTTTAACAGTGCATTTCTTTTTGTAGCTGACTGTCTAAGCGTGTTAAATCGTTTAAGCTATTTCTTTGTAAAATAGTACAATGGAATGCATAGAGGTTTTTTTCCTGTAAAGTATTTTTTTAATAAACAAAGTCTGATTTGTCCTTTAATAAAGTCTCATTTATACCATAAAGTGGGTAGATTCAAATGTATGTGAAGCTTAAAAATGTAGAACCTCCTTGTAGTTGAAATCCCTGTAGTTTACCCTGGAGCTATTGAAAAAAAAAATCTACTTTTCTTACATTTCATAGAAATGTTAATTGTTTCTCCTATACGAGAGAAGTTGGCAGGTCTCTGAAAAATCCCATATGTCAACTAGTTGCATTTCACCATCAAGATAGTTTTCCAGGAGAGAAACTTAATCTGGGCACATGTTGTATTTGGTTATGCTTGTTGCTCATTTGAATTGATTTGAACCCTGAGTAGAACAGAAGCCTCTTGAGAAGCAGAGATTTTTCTTTTTTTTTATTATGAGGATAATAATGTCTTGTCTACAGTTGGGAGCAAACTAACAGTGAAGGTTGTCTTCTCTGCACCTTAGTCTTAGTTTCCTAGAGCACCAAGAGCTGGATTGCCTACACTGCCTCAATATTTGTCAGAATTTGGACCTGAACTGTGTCTTCCTGATTACAAAGCTGGCTCTATTCACTCTGCCATACTGTACACATGTAGGCAGTTAATGTTTTTTTTAATTGAGTTGAATCCATAATGAAGATAAACACTAGATAAGTCCTCATTTCCCCCAGTGTAGAATTGAAGATAATGTGTGTACTACTGACTTTGATTGGATGGTCACGAAGAAATAAATTTTTAAACTTTCAGGTGTTTCAAAATAATGAACTGTTGGTAAGTTGCCTTAATGTAACTCCCTTCCTAAATCTACAGATCAACGTCCTGGTTGAAGAGCTCTTTTAACTGCTGTAGCACTGAACACTAATCAAATGGGATATGAAGATACAGGGATATTTTCTCTTGATAGAAATAGCAAATTAAAAAATACAGAGATACACAGTTCCCCAGTGCTGCTTCCAGAATGATCTGGCTTCACTCCCACCTTTTTTTTCTCTTGGCTTTAAATTAAGACTTCATATTATGTACTTTGCATTTTGAAGTTAAAATACTTTTGCTGCCATTCAGTTTAAGTGCTTTATATAAACACATCAAAGAAGCTGTGTGATATAGCAGAATGGGTGCTAGATTGGAATCAGAAGACATGGGTCCAAATGCCGGGTCCCCTGCTTGATGTAACTGAGGGCAGCTTGCTTTACTTCTCGGGGGGACCCCTCAGTTTCCTGATCTGTAAAAGTAGAGGTTTGAACTTAAAATATTCAAGGGTCTTTCCAGCTTTAAAATTCTCATGTGTATAAAGAATTCCGGTTATTATTTATCTCTTCATATTCTTAACTTTAAAAACAAATTAACCTTAGTTGGCTTTCTTTGCCTTAGAGTCCACAAGATTATAGGATGAGGGACGCAAAGTTTTAAGCACACACACAGGGAAAAAGTTCTTACAAATTCGTTGTAACGGGATGATTTAAAAAGCTACAACCCTCAAATTTTGCATCTACTATTCATTGACTTTAGGCGACAGAAGCCGGAAGCGAGGACCTTAAAGGGACCCATGCTTGTCATTTACTCTCCCTTCCGTGGCCGGCCCCGAGAGGCGGGAGCAGCCTCAGGACTCCTCTCCCTCAGTGGCTAAAGCAGTTCGACACGATGCTTTTATTCTTCCCTAATTAAATTCTAAAGGGGGAGTTCTTCACTTGGGGTACGCCAATCAAGGTCCCTTAACCCGTATGGGGGAAAAGTGTCATTAGGACTGCTTCATTCCAATTCTACGTATCGCGAGCGTTTTAAAACCTCTCTCTGGGAAGGGGTCTGCGTTCCGGCCCGGCCCCGCCCCGACCGCCCGAGCTTGCTTCCCCCAAAGGCCGGCGCCTGGGGGCGGAGCTAACATCCCCACTACGGAAGCCCGCCGGGAGGAAGCATTCGGGGCGGCCGCTGTCCGGGGGCCCTCGGAGCCGAGCTCGCCTCCGGCACGTGGCACCTATCCTCCCAGCTCTCCTGACCTCTGCCCCTCGGCCCGATGGCGCGCTAGCTCGGCCTCGGAGACCCCGGCTTCCGGGGCAACCGCCTCTCCCCGACTCCCCTACCCCTCCCCGCGGCGGACGTCGGCGGACGCACGCACGGCGCGGACGTCGCGCCGGGCCGGCCGGGGCAGGCTGGCGCGGGCGCCGCGGTCTCCATGGTAACCGCCCCCGCGGGTGTCTCCTCCTCAGGGGGAAGATGTGGCCTGCGGGCCCTGCGGCCGGGCCGGGACCACTGAAAATAGGGGTCCTGGCCGCCGAATTGAGGGGCAACCGGCACCAGGTGAGAGCGCTACTGTCGGAGAGGGTGGGGGTGAGGCGAGGCGGTCCGGGGAGACGGTGAGCCCCGGCAGACGGCCCTCGTCTCCACCCGGCGGGCGCCCCCTCCCCCGGGGCATCCCCGAGCGTCGCTGCCGCCGCCGCCCGCCGCCGTTGCTGCTGCGGCCGCCCCCTCACGCCGAGGCCCCGGGAGAGGCCCAGGGAGGGAGAGGCGGACTTCGAGTCCGAGCCTGGAGACCACCCGCCCCGCTCACACGTTTTCCCTCGCTCTCCGTGAAATCCTATTCTCAGAAGACTCACAGATGGACGCAAACGAGAGAGATGCCATTTCGTGGTACCAGAAGAAGGTGAGCTCGCCCCTCCCTCACCCCGGGGGGAGGGGCGCCTGCAGCTCGGGCGGGGTCGGGGCCTCAGCTGACTGCGCCTCCCTTAGGCATCCCCCGGCAGCTGGAACTTGGGATGACCCGCCCTCCCTGCCCTCACCCCACCCGCACCCTTGGAGAGGAACCTTTCCAGCCCTACGAGGATGCTTCTGTGCCCGGCGCGTTGATCTCTGACCAGTGGTCTAGAGAAGCCGTTGCGTCCTCCCACCCAGACGGCTGGAGGTCTGATGGCTCATTCACTCTCCCAATCACTTCCCCAATCCAAACACACACCTGGTGGAAATCTCAGTTTGTTCCTAAGAAAGGTTCTCGTCTTTACTGCTATGCTGTATATAATAAGCCCTTATCTATTGCTTTCCTTTAGTTACTCAGTTGGTAATTTTCTTAAGAAATTGGAATATCTGCTCAAACCTCAATATATATTCGATCTGACCTTTCCTTTAAAAAATATTTAAACTAGTCATTAAGGCATTGTGAATAGTTTTGTCCTTGGAAGTAATGGTTCTTTATAACCCAAGGAAAAGTAGGTATGTCCCAGGAAGTTTTTTTTTTAATGGCCTTTCAGCTAGTTTTCCTGACTTTTTTGGCAGGATTTGGTTTAAATTTAATTATTTAGGTTAGGTCATTTGAGCAACCTTTTGTCTGTTACAGATTGGAGCATATGATCAACAGATATGGGAAAAATCTATTGAACAGACCCAAATAAAGGTAAGCTGGTTTTGTTGATCCTGCTTCTATCCATAGCGTTGTTTTTTAATGCATAAGGTGGGATATCCCTTTGATATCTCAGATTCATGTTGTTCAAAGGGGAATGCATCTTCTTCTCCTTTAAACTCCCCTTCTCCAGAACTTTGGACTACCATGCTCCCGTCACACAGGTTCTTGACCACACCATGTTGTCTTGATTCATGCCTTCATCTCACCACCCACATTCAATCAGTTGCCCAGTCTTATCCAGTCTACCTCTGTAACATACTGGAAATCTGCCCCTTTCTCTGGGCTGATAATACTACAACCCTTATCCTTTGTTGCCTGGATTATGGTAGTGGCATCCTGATTGGTCTTCCTGTCCCTGTTGTCTTCCCTCTTCAATCTATCTTCCACAACTCTAAAAGAATTTTTCTAAAAGATCAGTCTTACAATGTTACCTCTCTGCTCAGAAATCTTGAGTGGCTCCCTACTGCTTCTGTGATGAACTGCAAACACTTCCCTGGCCCTCTTCCACTGGCAGACAAAGCCTGCTAAATCTAAAGGTCCAGCCTCCCTTTCCTGCCATATTTAATACTTCTTGTTGAGTCAGTTCAGTCATGTCCGACTGTTTGTGACCCCATTTGGGCTTTCTTGGCAAGTATACTGGAGTCGTTTACCGTTTCCTTTTCCAGCTCATTTTACAGACGAGGAAACTGAGGCAAACAGGATTAAGTGACTTGCCCAGGGTCACACAGCTAGTAAATGTCTGGAGGCTGGATTTGAACTCAAGTCTTCCTGACTCCAGGTGGGAACTTCTTCCACTGAACCACCTAGCTGCCCCTTATTGAATACTGCTTTCCTGGTACTCTCTGCACCAAATTTGATTGCTAGCTGATTTCTTAGACTCAGCATTTCATCATAAAATTCCATTGTAAATGCCTTTGTGCATTTACCCAGGTAATCCCTCATACCTAGAACGAACTCTTTTCATCTCCAGCTCATTGTCCAAAATAGGCTTCTTCTTTCTCTCCGAACCTAACCCTCTTCTGAATTAACCTTGTTTGTGTAAGGTACCACCATTCTTTCAGTCATCCAGGTTTTATGGTCTCAGAGTCACCCTTGATTCCTCACTCTCTCTTTGGTTCTATCTCTGCGTGGTCTCAGGTGTCTGTCCCTTTCTTTCCACTGGCCTGCTTCCGCTCTGGTGGCTCTTACCACTCCTGGCTCAGTCCCTCTCCCCTGAAGTGTTGCAGTAGTTCATGTTCTCTCTGCCTTTCGTCTTAGCCATCCTCTGCCAAAGTGATATTCCTGACTCAAAGATCAATGGTGCCTGTTACAACTTGGCTCCAGCCTGCTTCTCCAGGCTTATTACACATTACTCTCATTCTTGTTCTCGCTCTTCCATCCAGGCAAACTGGGTGTCTTGCTTTTCTTCATCTATGATATTTCTTCTTCCATCTGTGTGTCTTTGCACAGACTGTCTGTCCCCGTACCTGACATGCATTCTGATGCCATCACTTCTACCTCTTAATTCCTTGTTACCTTCGAACTCCACTCCAGCCATCTCTTACATGAGGTTCTTCCTAATAACCCCTTTAGCTGCTGGTGCCTCCTTGCTGAACTTATCTTGCATTTACTTTGTATGTTGTACAGTATACAATTGAATGTAAG